TTTTCGCTATACATTTCCTTCTAGCAACTTGCAATGTTTGCCCCCTGACGATCCCAGAGTTCTTTGTGCAATTACGGGTATCTGATTACTGGCAACTCATTCATTGTCCGTATTAGAGAGGTGTGCATATTGGAGTGGTCACTATGATGACGTCACTTTTAAGTCTCCACTGACAGTTTAGAGTGTTGAGTAACTACAATCAGGCCCAAAAGTGAGTGTCTTGTGAATTTCTCAATCTAATCACTGATTAACTTTATTTGTGCTTCTCAGTTACAGTGTACATGCTGTACATACGAAGTTTGGAACAGAACGAAATACTGCACGTAGGAACTTACCACACCGTATTATAAAAGTACAATTTTAATAAATGTGTCGCAATAGTTTACAGGTGCAGTGAACAGTAACTGGAGTAACATGTAAAATGTAGTAATTCTACATGTAGTAATTTACCGCAAATTATCGACACCTGGTCCTCAGAGTGTCCGTAATAAAGAGATTACATTTGTATGAATTTGCTTCCTAGGGTGGAGATTTAGTGTCTGTTGTCCGTTTTAGAGAGGGTCTGTATTATAGAGGTTTTTTGTGGAGGAAATGTATAAGAATTTTGTTGGTAGATAGGAAACTGTCTGTATCAGAGAGGTGTTTGTATTAGAGAGGTGTCCATATGGAGAGGTTTGACTGTAAATGCAAAGCATTATATGCAAGGATGCAGGTGGCAAGTAAGCTAAAGAATTAACAAAAGCTTATTTATTTAATAATTTACTTCTAAGATAACCTGTGAGAAAATTGTTTAAAGTTGTACTGAAGATATCATAGATGTCTACAGCTGCTGGTCAGGAGTAATTTTATTGAATAAATTATTACCATATTTTATCAGGGGGATTTTTCCCGGAGAACGCACCACAGAGAAAGTTACCTGCTAAAGATTCCCTTGGAAATTTTTGTTTTAAGGTGCCCAGAAATGTATGCCAGTATGCCCCTGGTTACCACACGAAATATTAAAGTGCCTATGAAGAAAAAAATAATTCCTGCTCATTTGAAAGGCTTTTTAAAGTAAAGAAGAATGACGTTTTCCTTTTTGGAGTATCTTTTTTTGTTTTAGAGATATTCACGTTTTTGTATTATGCAAATGAGGAAAGTGATGACATCATAGGTGGTTACTCTAAAACAGCACAACACTCAATTGAGAATGACTCTAGAAATATTAAAGCAGTGTTCTTCAAACTTGGCACCAGAAATGTACATCACAAAAGAAACAGAATTATATCTACTATGTTGTTGCCATGGCAACACTCTTGGCTCCATTCTCTTTCTGTGAAAAACCAAATATCCCCATTTGCAACCTTTTAAAGTGGGACAGAGAGTCTTGCACGGAACACACGTTTCCCATATTGTCTTAACTCTCCCGATTAGATTGGTGGGAGTGGATGACGTTTAAGATAAAATCTCTCTGAGTTTTAGTCTTAATTAAAACAGACCAGTGGTATAACTGTCGCCATGGCAATGGCACGAAGGGTGTCACTATATTTTTTTTGTGATGTACATTTCTGGTGCCAAGTTTAAAGAACACTGCTTTAATATTTCTAGAGTTATTTTCGATTGAGTGTTGTGCTGTTTTAGTGGAACCACCTATGACATCATCACTTTCCTTTCAAAAAGGTAAATATCTCTCAAACGAAAAAAGATATTCCAAGAAGGAAAAGGCCATTCTTCTTTACTTAAAATGCCTTTCAAACAAGCAGGAATTATTTTTTACTTCATAGGCACTTTAGATAAAAACAAAAAGCAAGGAAGTATTTGACAGTATAAGATGCAGACTGTGCCAGGAAGACTGACAAAGTTGTCAAGGGCTTCCTCGTCACATGTATAATTACAGTTAATTAATAATTTATGCACGATATAACATCTAAGAAAATTGGTTAAAGATATCATAGACGGCTTCAGAGGAGAAATAGAGAATTTTTGGCAAGTCAAATTGTTGTTACAGAAAAAAAAAGATCCAACTCAAAAACAGTGCAATAAACAACAAACATCTTGTGAAAGGTTTTGGGGAGCAATGTACATAACATGATCATTTAGTACATGTTTCAAGGGAACAAGGTATATTTGTGGATTAATCTGAGGGAACAAGAAGATCACTACTGGTAACAGATACTTTGAAGAAAAATTTTAGGGAACAACAGAATTTTTGAAACTATATAATTATGGAAAAAGGACTATAATAGGGAACGTGCATCCCTGCTACGTATACACGGGAGACATTCTGTGGGAGCTGCTTTCTCATAAAGAAATCCTCATTGTAAAGAGCAGAAATTCCAGAAGTACAGAATTAAAGGGAAAGAAGACCATCATAAAGTGTGTTAAATTTTCTATACTAGAGTGGTATGCTGAGTGATGTAATATAACACTGTTTAATTTTGGGGCAAAATAATGCTTCAAGAGTGAATTTTCACATAATATATAATGGAGCCTTGTTATAATTAAATCCCATTCATTGTAATGATCCTGTTATCCCACTCCCTAATATGATGTACATAGATATCCTGTTTTTAATGATTCTTTGGACAATAAATATTCATGTTCACAGCTGGATCCTCATAACTCTCATAGATGTCTTGCATGTACACTACAAAATAATACGTTTATTGCATACAGCAACTTAGAAATTGCAATCTCCTTTTTTTCACCAAATTAAGGCTCTGCTGATTAAGGCAATATTATTGATACTTTTTCATCAGAGAGGCATGTACATACCTTTATTTTTGAGCTTTTTTCTGTTATTATTTTTTGCGGAAGGGGGGGGGGGAGGGGGGCTTTGGAGGAGGAGTGGATGAGAAAATGTTATCGCAAATTGGTTGTTTACCATTTGGGTATTTCATTTCTGCCTCTGAGACTACCAGCAAAGGCTACCTTAGATAAGATTCTGACATTCAAGTCAAGTCATCTTTATTTAGGCAGGGTAGCCCCATCAGCCATAGGCTGGTATCAAAAGGGGCCCTGCGTAAAATTAAGACTACGTGATAAAAAATTCAGAATTTAAAAATTACCACAAAGTTATGTACAAGGAGTTTAAAAATTGAATAAAAAGGAAATTACCTATCTATGAAGTACAATTTTTTTAGATCAATACAATAAAAGAGAACAATCAAAGTATATGTAAGTAAGTATTATATTACATTACCGTTATATTACATATATTGCATTACATTCTCTGAATTTAATTAATTTGTTTGATTTGAAATGTTAAAGTCTTTTCTTTATCTGGCAAAGCATTGATCTGACTGATGTTCTTTTCTTGCAGAGTGTCAGTGGTACCAATGTAATTGGAATACTAAAAGGTCAGTTCTTCAACACAGCAAATGATGAAGTCATTGTGCTTGGGGCACACCTTGATACAAGAGGAATTTTACATGAAGGAGTAAATAATGATGGGTCTGGTCTAGCTGCATTGATATCCTTAGCTGAGGATCTCACTGGTAAGTATTACATGTATGTGCAGGGTAAAAATGCCAGTATATAGGATAAATACTTAGTTACACCTGTAATTAAAAAGCCTGTATCAGGCCAGAGGCCCATACCAGCAGAGATTGCCCCAGTTTCTGTTGCATGAAGCATCCAGTGGTATTTCTACTCCTTCCTGGATAGAAATGCTAGTCCATTGCAGGGTTACCCCAGCATATTTGCAAGTACTCACTTATACACATGAACAGGTAGAGAGAGTCATGATTGTGAAACTAAAGGACCTTGTCCAAAGCTGGGCCCATAACCAGGGAGTTTATAACTTGGCAACGTGAAAACTGTTATTAATTAATGGATTTAAACTATTGAAATGAATTATTCTCAACTGAACTAAACTTACATGTTTGTTGGTCAGCTGGCCACTAAAATTCTGTGAAAAAAGCTTGTATTGCACTGTATTGTTCACAATGTATTTTTACTATGAACAGCATTAATACATTGTATGATGATCATGTGTCTGCAACTCACTTTCCAGGATAATTATGACTTTGTAATTTATCACCTGCAGGAAAGGACAGATGTGTGCAGAACCACAGCATTCTGTTTGTTGCATTTGATCGTTCAGAAACCTTTGATGTGCAGCAAGGGCATGCTGTATGTAACAAGAGCTGTGGAAGCACAGCTTTTGTCAGCGATATAAATGCTGTAATTCCACATGGATCAGTCAAGACTGCCATTATTATGGATTGTATATCAAACTTTAACCTTGATGCCAATAGCCAGAAAATTTATGAGAAACCCATCAAGGATTACTTCAGTACCTTTTTTCTTGATCAAGGGGACCTCTACTTGAATAAAGGAAGCTATCTTGCAGTGGTTGGCAGAGAAGATGAAAAGGACCTCTTGACCAAATATGTTGATCAATTTAATGAAGTGAAGAAGACAACGTATGATCAATACCGTGTGTTTGATTTCATGTGGAACTTCAAGGGGAAACCAACTGGCATAAATTTGACAAATGTAGAAACTGCATTTGAAAAGTCTGATACATTAAGGTGAGCATCACTAACAATATGAAGGACAGTTCATACATGTATTAACTGTTGAAGTTGCTTAGGACTTTTACATTGTACATTAACATGGTTACCGTTTACATAATCCACATATACATAATCAGTATATGGTATACATAATCCGCATAGCTATTCAAGCACAAACTCAGACCTTCACTCTTGAGACAGAGATCATCTCTGCTTGGAGAAGGGTTGATATCTTTACAGTCAACATCATTATATTGCTTGGGTCACACTTCTCACCAGGGCTTCAAAAAAGCATGAATTCCAGCTTGCCTTTCAGACAAGCAGCTTGCAAAATTTGGTTGCCTTGCACAAGTTTTAGTTTACTCTTTTAAGTTTAATTGGCAGACAACATACCTGGACCCTTCCCTATAGGCAAGTGGGAATGAAAAGTTACTTGCGCAGCAGGAAAATCTACTTGTCCAAGACGACTGCACAACACTTTTTTCAAGGTCCAACATATGTTCATTCTTGATAGAGTAAAACCCTTGATTTGTTACTGATCAAGTTGCTCAATTCAACATTGAAATCTGAGAGAGGTTCCGGAAACTGTACTGTTCAGCACTGCTGAACAACAACTGGCAACAAGTTTTGAAATTTTCACATCTTTCTTTTGTAGTAAATTACCATGGGTCTGTTAAATATTATTTTTATTTATTAAGTTAAACATGACTTGTAATAATGAGTTTTTGTAAATATTGAAACTCATGTTTGTTCAATTTTGTGGGCTTGAAAGTTGATTTATTTTATTGATTTTAAAAGGAACTTTAATTTCTTTCAACAGTTTTTGGGATGCCAACATCAAGTCTATACTACTGACAGATACCTGCTATCAACGCGACCCACTATTTAGCTGCCAATCTAGTTCTAATTGTGATAACTATTTGACAGCTTCAAGGGATGATAATCTTGGCTTCATGTACAATACTGTGACTGCAGCAAAAAACCTGACCAAGTTTTTAGTTTGCTCTGACTCAGGTAATGAACTATGTGTAATTATTGTATAATAATGAATACAGCTCTGTCAAATAGAATGGGAATTTGTCCTAAATACTATAATAAGCTTTCTTCTTTTAATCAAAGCATGTACAAATATAGATGCATGTTAAAAGAAAATACTAGGTACACTCCTGGGGGGGGGGGGGGGGGG